GGGGGAGGGGTGGAAACAGGAGGGGGGAGTGGAGATAGGGGGTGGAGACAGTGGGTGGAGACCGGGGGGATGGGGGTGTGGAGACGGGCGTAAACATTGTAAGATCACGTGCAAGCACTTATGAAGTGTCAATTTAAACCTTCGTGACAGCAAGTTAAGAGGTTATTTCAGCTTGTGATAGTAGCTGAATTTGCACATACCAAGAGCTCTTATCCTCCCAAAAGCTGGTCACGGGTTGTGACTTTGAAAACATGTATAAATACTGCTCATACTCTGTTTAGTTCACAATAGATTTTTATGGTATAGAAATAAAGAATCCGTCTATTAAAATCAAACTGGCTGGTTTAAAACTTTGTCCGTTGTGTTTAATCCTTCAGTAAGAACATAAAAATAAATGAAAACATACCTTTCGCCTACACAAAAATGTTAATTACTTACAGGGGTCTAAAGACAGGCTAATATTGAACACTAAATCTATAACAAGTTGCTTCAAACAATGTTTTATTAGAGACCACTAGAAACCTCAGGAAATCAGTTTGACTTTTCGGAGTGGGCTACTTACTCCTCTATACATTTGCCGCTTTGAAAATTAGATTTTGCGTGTTTTTAATATTTGTTTTATTGGAGCCTTTTGATAGCACACCTATATAAGACATGCTTCACGGAGACATTGCAGAAACTTTGGAGTAACCTATAAAATATTTATTTGACGTTCATTTAATTTTTTCACAGTAGTAATAGTGGTAATAGTAGGGATACATTGGTAATGTTTAATATCGAAATTAGACTTACAAGTCCAACATTTTCTTTAAGGTAGCTGCTAGACGGATGAACTGAAAACTGACATTTCTTTCTTTCTTTCTTTCTTTCTGTCTTACTTTCTGTCTTTCTTTCTGTCTTTCTTTCTGTCTTTCTTTCTGTCTTTCTTTCTGTCTTTCTGTCTTTCTTTCTTTATTGCTCGGGACTTTCAAGCTATTAAAGTTTAAGAATAACGCCAGAGGTTCACTGATTTATTGCGAAACATGTGTTACCCTCAATTTAGGTTGACATTGAAAAAAAAACGTGACTTTTTTGGTACAAAATGGAAGATTTTTTTCCCATACTGACAAATGTAACGTCCCCACTGTTGAATTTAATTTCTTCGAAGTTTTGTTGAAACTGGTCCAAGATGACTGAATTCTGGTCTTTAAATGGGTCCTTTTTTTAGACACCCGGTATAACGCAAATGTTAGCAATTTTCCCCAGTGGGATCTATGAAAGTGAAATTTTATTAATTCTTATTTATATTTCATAATATGCACGTTTGAATTTCATCCAAATCAGGTTATATAAACGTTTTTGTTCAATGACATACTTTTGGGGGAATTATTTGCGCAATTAAAATTTTTTTGTCAATGTAATTTTATTTTTCCTATGTAAAACAAATTCTTCCTTTACCGGACTGTAACATTTGTCTTTTGTCCTTTATCTTATCTTATTTGAGCAAACGATGACGGCATAAGGAAGATCTGTAACAGTAGCTACAAAGAAATTTCAGTTGCAATGTTTAATTGAATGATTCGAAATGAACTATCTTAGCTTCACAAATTATGCAAAACACACACAATACACAAGTTTCATATTCCGACTGATAATAGTAGGACAAGGAAAGGTACTCATCAGCACTGTTGATTTGATGATTAATGTTGAAACTCTTGGTGAAATCAGTGAAACAATTTTTTTTTTCTATTAAAGGTCTTACTTTTGAACCAAGCGTGCCCCAAAGATCCGTGTGTTTAGAAAG